ATTTTCATTTCAGGAGGATCTGAAAATCGAATATCCTACAAGTCTGTGCGTATATCACCCAACGCTGGGGTTGAGCTACTGTTAAGCCCTCCCTGAAAACTTAGAATATATGTTCAACCTTTGTGTTTTCTGGTTTTTTATTTATTTCCGGAGTGCATGGTTCCAAAAGATGGCGCTATCTAAGCATGGCCTATTTGGACCATGGGCCACAGGTTGTCGACTTTCCGGTTTGCCGGTATTGACTTGCTAATCTCCAGATTTCATGAGGAAATTGCATTTGTTGTGATTACATGGGTTTTTTCCCTTCATTGCCATTGGAATCCTGTCAGCAACGGCAACAATCGCAAATCTGGCAATAGTTCTCGGCAACCTGTGGTCGATCTTCTGCTGATAAGTTTGTCGAATTCCATTCTGGTGAATGCAACCCGACAATTTCCGAATCCAACACAACTTGATCAAAGAATGTTCCACAAAGTCGGGCTCGCATTCACTTGACCAGACTTAAAAGATTCAACAAATATCACAACAGCACAGAACAAAAAACCTGTAAATTACGTTGATCACCTTTAAATGTCGTTGATCAGATGTTCTTTGAGCTTGCGAAGGCAACCCGAGCGGTGTCGCGTGTGTGGCGGAAATACCCATAGGTAGTGCCACGGACACATAATCTAGAACTTGTAGGATATATCCAACGGTTCAAGCATGAAAGGGAGGAGGAATAGGTGCCTAAAATGGAGTTCATGAAGAAAAAGAGATGAGTAACGCTTAAATAACAAAGAAGGTTATGGGACATGGATGGTGCCAGCTGAAGATTCCCCGCGCGCTGCAGTGTACTGTAAAGCTGGAAAGGATCCAAAAACGCACTCGCGCAATGGTGTGATTACACCAGTTGGGGCTGTCGTCGACGAACATCCTTTACTCTCATCTCAGCAGTACGAACACACGAACAGGCAACAAGTCATTATTGCCAAACAAGGTGAAGGAACAGTCCAGAGGAAAACGATTCCGTTACGAACAAGACTACAACCATCTTCATTTCAAAAAGCGACAATCCAACTTCACAAGGCAAACAGTCACTGCTTCCATCCTCAGTGAAGCTCGAGCAGATAGACACCTTTGGTTAGCCACAATACGTTCCATGGCAAACTCCAATGTTTGCTTCCGATATCGAATAGAATGGCTACCGCAGCGGTTCACAAACAATGAAGCCAAGATAAGGATGACGAACGCACCGGAAAGAAGAAATTACGAGGAGACACATCGTGTAAGAACGCCGCTAATCAAGGGCATGGTCATCAATGGATCATCTACCACCGATTCAGTGTGGAAAAGGAGGAAATGGCGAGGGCGACGAGGAGCGCTAAACCGCCAAACAGCTCTCCAGCAACCACCACTCCAGGAACTTTTCCCATTACCATTTATCTAAATGATCTACTCTTGTGTATATTTTGAAGTTACTCGCAACTTCTCCTTCACAGCTCATTTTTCTGTATGCGTAGGTATTAACTTGTTCGCTAGTCAACTTCACATGTATCTGCTATTCTAATTAAGATCTTACCAAATCTCACTTCCTCTCGCTCGCCCGGAGTGTTGATGATTTCTGTATCATCAACCAATGAACTCTATATTTTAGATAGCCTACGGAATCCCCGTAAGCTAAATTGTGAGCTACTCACTCTTGAGTATCTAATCACTCAAGAGTGAGTGGTACCCGTGCGCCAGGAGTGTAGCCAATCGGCGGCATCTCCTTTCAAGCATCAACTCCTGTACATTGTATCCTGTACTCCGTTCAGCTCCGCCTTCCTTCATATATAAGGAGCCTCCGAATGTATTAGAGGTTGCTCCCCGGTCCACACCGGGACACCTACTTCTTCACGACTAATCTACGCCCGTGCGAATAAATCTATATTCCACAACCTTGTCTACCCCTAATCACTTGGTACCCACCAAATTGGAGTAAAGATAATTTCCATCTTTGCAAGATAGCTATTCCTTACTCATGCTACTCATCGGCTTGTTCTCCTATAAATGAAATACACATTGATGTGAGGTTGATCTAATAACAAAGAATTTTAAAATATGGTGAAGCTATATTACTGTTGAGGTGAATGTCAATTGATACCAAAGCATCTGAGGTCAATATGAGACTAAAGAATGACTTAGAAGAGAATTGCTCGGAAGAAGTTTGGATTTTTCAGGCTAAGGTACAAAAAAATTACAAAAAAACAGAGCATATTCCGCATTACTGGCACACGACCTAACATGGGAAGCATACTTGGTGACCGTGGCCATTGTTTGATGAGATGTATATTAAAAAACGCGCCTTTTGATTCCAATCTGCGAAACGGTAATCCGGATGAATATGATTTTCTATCGAAAATAAACTACACTACGGCGGTAGGTAAAAATACCCATACAAAGTTTCCTTGCCTTTTTAGCTGCTGATTTGAATTGGTTAGTCCTAATACAACAGTACTCTGTCCAAGATTTTCTTTAGTAGCATCAAACGTTGAAGTAGATCAACACTGGTGATCTTAACTATCCAAAAGTACATAAATTCTCTATGAAAAAAATTCGTAACTTTCTTCAGAAGATTGTTCCGCAGATTGCAAAAGCAGATTTAAAAACAGCGTTTTGAGTTGCACCTCATGGACTACATCACTTTTCTAATGGCCGAGGTCACCAAGTATCCTTTCTTTGTAAGATCAAGCCTTACCCATTCAGGCATATCATGCATCAAGGGTGACTAGACGATCGGATGCGGCTTTCCTCTCAGGAATGGTTTGAACAGGAACGACCAATGAATACAGCAATTTTACTTAACGACTCGAGCTGGCTAAGAGAAAACAAAGTCATGAATTCTCCCTCAACAGATATTTTTGAACTTCAAAACAATTTTCATCCACAACCTAAATCTATACCAATGCCTGAACAGACGCAATCCCCTTCACCCCGCTAATTAACAACCTTAAAAATTCTAAACAGTGGCAATCGTGCTTAAAGGCAAGCAATGCCTGGGAATTCATGAGCGGATTCTAACTAAGGCATTGCCCAAACGGCGGCGCAAACGATTCATTCACGGCTGAGAAATCCATCCTCAAACACCGCGCGCCTGCGCCGTGACCGTAACCGCGAGGGACTTAGGACGGTCCTAGCGCGAACGTAGTGTCAATGTGAGCGAAGTCATTTCGAACGGGTTTGAGGACGAATTTCTCAGCCGTGAATGAATCATTTGCGCTGCCCTTGGGAAGCGTGTTAGTTAGGACCTTCTCATCATTTTCCAGGCGAAAACCCCCATGCGCCCAGATTTGCCTGGACTGCCTTCAAAGGCGGAGTACGCGTCAAAGACAATGCAGCCAAAGCAGATACTACGGAAATTGTTAGTTCTGTTTATGCTCCTCTGTTCTAAATTACCTAGGTACTTCGTCTCCTCTACGAACACCTCAAAGGCCATGCATTAATATTTTGAAAAATTTTGTAGGAACCTCGTCTCAAGAGTTCTTGGTGCCATCTGTGTCGAGCTCTAGACCCTACTTCTTACCACAGTGGCAAATGTCAAGTTGAATACCGCTTTTGCGGAAGAAACAAAGGAGATTTTGTAATACGTCCAAAGCACATACGCACATCTCGAGCAACTCCATCCAGAATCCTGCACAAGGTGGGCAAGCGTAACCTTGGTGAACGATTCCGATGATTAAGTAACTACGATGACTGAAAAACTCCTCTTAGGACCCGGATTTCTGATGCTATAGCGAGTCGCATCAGAAAGGAAAGCTGGAAATCCAACCGCTAGTGCAAGTTGAAGTGAAGGATTAGTACCCTAATTTCACGCGTACAAGGCCCACTTTTTCGAATTTTCAAGCGAGTCGCTCAGCCGCTTCACTGTATTCCGGAAAGAAATCCTTACATCGCACGATTTTCTCAAGCAATATACAGCACGTTATAGGGTCCTTGGGTTGTAAAGTCCTTTGGCTTGTCTGGGCTGGTCGATTTTGGAAAAAAAAAATCCCCGCGCCTTATACGCGTGAAAGTAGGATATATCATATATGTGTCTGGAAGTGTTTCACAAGTATTCCTGAGAGTTAATAGAAAATCCATTACCAGAAATGAACAATGAACTCCGCATTTGTCAAAGTCCAGTGATAACTCCAAGAAAAATAGTTTATCAGTAATACTCCTTCGTTGATTCGTTATATACGTGTATAAAGAGCATAGTCGTGAAAGAAGACGAATGGTCTTTTGTTGCAAAAGTCAAGCATCTGCTTTCGCAGGAGCACGTGTGGTGTAAGTACTCTAAAACGATTTTCAGTGGCGCCGCACTCGCGTGCGCTAATTATGGCATCCGCCTCCGCACGGGACTAGACTGTACACGTACGAGCAAGTCTGGCAGAAACGAGTTGTTGCTCTAAAATGAAGAAGGAGGAGAAGTTCTACCGTAGTGGAGACAAATGGGAAATGCCTCTTTTTATTTCGTAAAGAGCCGAATCAAACATGTATTGATGAACTGCAGATGTTTTGAACACATTGGTCAGATCCTACATCTGCGTCGCTTCAATCAGGATGTTCAATGACAAGCAAGCTATAATGATCTATAATGATGCGTGAAAGAAGACCTTTTACCAACACTATTGATACACAGCTCCGTTCTACGTATGAATTTCCTTGCTGGAGGGTTGCTGTATGTTCAAATACAATCGCCATTCCCAAAAATAGGGTACTACTCCAGTGCATCCAAAGCTCATAAAAATGGTAGCGGCGGTTCAGAAAGTCTCTTCGGTGGATGTAGGGCAAACAATTTTCTGAAGCGTGGCCTTCCGGAGAAACTGTTTACGGCTTAAGAGCTCGTGTAGCGGATATTCACTACGTCAAGGTTATGAGAAGACAACATACAGTGAGTAGGTGAGTCTCAAAAGAGAAAAAAAATCAGAAACATTAGAACTCGAATTACAATTAGCGGTCAGATGTGGGTACGAGAATTGTATTGAAAGTTTCTACTCATCTTATAAAGGCAAAAGCGGAGCGAGGGCAGAAAAGGCGTGCACTAAAGATAGGTTACGAAAATTTCAAAATGGTCTACACAAGTAATAAATTTGTGCGAATAACTAGCTTTACCTTGCAGTCTGTCCCAATACAGATCCAAAGTTGGCATGACAGTCGCGTCGCTAGGGTTTCGCGTCACGCCTACAACTTCTCGTCTGCTCTCTCTCTCAGTCTCTCCGATCTCTCCAACACTGCGCATATACAGTGCAAACCCCTGGTGGACCCAAATTAGGACAACGGTTCGGCCTAATCTCGAATGGGACAACTGTCTATAGATGACTTTTAGAAAATTAACCAAGTTCGATTAATTACCCCCTTTTCTTTTCACTTTCATAGAAATAAAAGTGTAAGCATAGCAAAAAGTTCTGGAGACGTCACTAAGACCATGCTCCTTGATCAAAAAGCTTTACCTCCCCAACCTCTGGGATAAGGTGATCTAACCTCGTAGGAATCCGCAGGGGGCCTGAAACAGTGCGAGTCCGCTGGCTCCGCGATGCGCTCCTGGCAGGCACGTTTCTGGACATTTGAGCTTTCTCAAAGCATTCCCAAATTGCACAAAACCGCCAAAGGTTCCAGATTGTACTTCTGCATTTTCGTGACAATGTCAACGAGTTGATCAGTTGCTGCCACTGGATGTTCGTTTGTCAGCTGCTGAGCAGCCACTTTCGCAGATGTAATTGTAGCGGTTGGAGAGAAAGTTCTGTCGCACTGCCCTCAAAATTCATAACTTCTGGATTTCTCAACAAAGCTGCATGTATTCATTTTTTTGCAAAGTGAACATGCGCTTTTTAACTGCATGTAGACTATACTTTGAACCGAATCGAATAAATATTCGAGTATCCGAATAAAGTATTCGAATAAATTATATTCGAAATTCGATTATTCGAAAATTTCAAAATCTCGAATATACAGGGTGTCCCAAAATAATGTGCACACTCTTTGATTTTGAATAACTCTCTTATTATGAGGTCTTTCGAGAAGCGGTAAGCGCCATTTTGTAGAGCTGACTTCAACTTAGATTTACAGTATAGAGCGAATCACCGACCGCCCTTCATTACTGTAGGATTTCGGTGAAAACTTGGAACATATGGTTTCACTGTGGAAAAAGCTGCCGATTCAAAAATTTTCAAAAAATTGTGGAAACTTGTGTAATAAGGTTATTATGGACGCTGAGTTCAATAATCAACTAATCACAAGATTACGAAGCTTTCTAAACGGTGTAACCGCACTTTTTAGGAACATTGAGAAAATGGTCGCTATCTCTTACCTGGCATAACTCTTCAATAAAGCATCATAATAAGTTGGGAACTTTACAGTTATAATCAGCAACTCTAATTAGCCTAGTGTAAAAGCTTCTAGACTGTTTTGATTCTTTTCTGAGGCAAAATATGGCCTTTCATAGCCCAAAACCCTCTTTAAAGTTTCTACCGTAATCCTACAGTAATGAAGAGCGGTCGGTGATTCGCTCTATAATGCAAATCTAAGTTGAAGCCAGCTCTACAAAATGGCGCTTACCGCTTCTCGAAAAACCTCATAATAGGAGAGTTATTCAAAATCAAACAGTGTGCACATTATTTTGGGACACCCTGTATTCGATATTCGCTTATTCGAAATTTGTCATTTTCGAATTTATTCGATTATTCGGTTATTCGAAAATTTTGATTTTCGAAAATAATCGAACATTCGAATATTTATTTTCAGAAGTTATACGATTATTCGAAAATTTCGTGTAATCGAATAACTACATGACAGCGTCATAACTTTGACTGCTATATCGCAACCATCGTTTGTTGTCCAAGTTGCCCACTGCATGAAGTCCTTCATTGTGCCAACTCGTTTAAAATTTGTTTGAATATTCGACATAATCGATGCAAAATATTCGTTTATTCGGATTTTTTTCCCAAATATATTCAAGTATTCGGTTTTTTCCATTTCGAATATATTCGATATTCGATTATTCGACGATTTTCTTACTTCGAAAACGATATTCGATTATTCGACATTTTTTGTTTTTGAAAATATTCGAAATCGATTATTCGATATTTTTGATTTTCGAATATATTCGGTTATTCGATTATTCGAAAAATTTCTCGAATATTCCGAAGTATAATGTAAACGCGCTTCGCGATGAGCAACTTGAGTAGATAGGAGCAGTAGGAAAAAAACGCAAATTTTTATTTTGTGTTGCCAGAAAGTTATGGCGTTTGAGAAAAATGCCTAATAATGCACGCTTGCTCAAAAATCATACTTTTTCACAGAGACTCCAACCAGCACAAATTTGATCACTTCAAATAAGTAGGCGGCTAAGAAACCTTTTTACTCACTGCTCCAATTTTTATTGCAAGTTTGCGATTTGTGATTAAACGCAGGAAATCAAAATATGAATTTTCTTTTACCACCTCTATCCAGCCAATGTGTGCCTATTGGGAAGCCACATGCAATTATGAGCGCATGACTTCTTCTGAATAAAATTGAATGCCGCAAATCTGTGGGGAAATCGGAAGTTACGGATTTTTGAGAGTAGTGCGTCAAAATCGTCCCCATTAGTTCAAAAGTTTTGTCAGTTTTTTAAAGAATGACCTGCAAATCTCATACAGGAAAGATAAGAAACACTTCGAGCTATACTGTTTCCAGCTGCCATATCCACAACGCGATTCAGTGAGGGAGTGCTGAAATAATCGCCAGACATCACAATCCTTCATCATGTCTGAATTTAGCTAATTGTAAGAATTTTTATTTGAGGGAGCTTTGATAGTTAACAGATAGTGCAAACCTTTTGACAACTGAAGCTATTTTGTAGCTTTGTGGTTTGGAAAGTAACCAAGTTTTATATTCGGCCTGTCCTAACCTCGTAGATTATAAAATCATTGCAACTATAAGGCTGTAACAGAATTAATGCAGGTTTTCCAAATTTTGAGTTCGGATCACTATAACTTTTTGCAGAAATTGTCAACCCGTTATCATTGAAACTGCTGCAATCAGCAAACCTTTGGCGATTTAGTACGCACTTCCATGTCGTTGTAGCTTTGCTGAGAAAAATTTCATAGCTCAAAGACTGCCAAAAGTTTTCTTGGAAAAGCTTCAGTTTGAGAGACCATAACTTACTACAGAATGTAGTAGGATGATGCAAACTTCACTCATTGTGTAGATAACATTCGGCTGTGTAACAGCGTTGAGCTTGAGTTTTACGAAGAAAATTTTGCTAGAAAATATTGCAGAAAATTTGTGATCACTGATTCTTCTCAATGGCTCTGAAAAGGCGAAAAAGTGCTTTTTTGCTGCTTTTTTAATCTTCTTTCCGCCAAAGAGAATAACGGCTTCCGGTTTTTTGCTATCAACTACCCTATGTCTATTGCCTCTGCAGATGGCGAAAGCTCCGCGATTGCTTTCCACTCAAGCTTTTTATACGTCGCAGAATGATAGCAAGGGGCTGCTTGGGTTTGAAATGAAAATGCTCAACCTGGAAAATTTCTAAAAATTTGCTTCAATGTGCTTTTTGTAGCACAGATCACATATAAACATAATGCAGTTAACAGAAAAATTCCATTTTTTGCGGTGGACTTATTGTTAGAGTAATGAGTGTAAAAAGAAGAAGTTTTAAGTTTTAGTCTCTTGATTTTGAAAGCACGCACTTCGAGATGAACTCAAATCCCTTGAAAAAAAGCATGCGTAAAAAAACTAAGAGTACTTTCAGATAATGGGCATAGTTTTCTAAGATGATGGAAATTTGTTTTGTACCAGCGCTTTGAAAAAAGGGTGTGAAAAACGTGCATTAATTCTGTTACAACCTACCCTAAAGTCTTACAGATAAGTCCGCCTTTTTGACACGAAAAATCGATGAAAATCCGCCCTCGCGCCACCAAAAGTCCTGCAGATAAATCCTTCCATCAGATAAGTCCGCCTACAGATAAGTCCGGACTTATCTGACAGATTTCAGGGTAGGGAAAGAAAGCGGACTTATCTGAAGAGCCATAGTCGAGTCAACAAAGCGGACTTATCTGGTGGGAGGACTTATCTGTGAGATTTTAGGCTAGTATTTCTTTTCTTTCTAACAGTTGTCTTCTCTTGGCGAAACACGCAAATTTGCGGTGAAAATCACCGTATTTTACAATTTCACGAGTGCGCACTGACGGACCCTAACATAAGTTTCAAAATCTTCATATCTCAAAGCGAAAATCGCACATTTACTTTCAAGATTATCTGGTGCAATAACGGTAATGCAAATTTCCCAAAACTTAAGACTTTTGGAGATTTCTTCAGCAAAATTTGAAAGAGTAGCTGGAAAAAGAAGGAAGGTTAGCTGGCAAAGTACCTGCTGGATACTGCAGCTCCCGCAAAAGTCTCACATGAAAATTTTGAAAATTAGCGAAAGTTGGAAATTGTGATTGCGAAGGGTTATAATTTCCAGCGATTATCTCAGCGCTCTCTCAACAAATCACACCCTGGAAAAAAGGAAGGAATTCTGCATCGGGCACGGCTTGAAATGTTTGATTATCTTTACTGCATGGGATTTGCGGGTCAATTCAAAAAGTGACAAAACTTTTGAAAAATATTAGGTCATTCCAATCCAAGACTTCGTTCGCTTTCTTTGAACGGGTGCCACATTCGATGGAATAAAGATTTCCAAGAGATCTTAGCAGAATTTGATGCAGCATTAGATCCTCTTTTTGATGGTTAAATAATCATTGCAGCACAGTCAATGAGCTCTTGGAAGATTACCAAAATCTGCGCATGTTCTTTGAATAGTTCAAGTTCCACAATTTTCTGAACTTTCATGGCAACCCTCCGAAGAAATTCGGGTAATCGATAGGGCAAACCATGCAGAAAACGGTACAACATTTTCTTCCTTCCCATAGCTCGCCATAATTTCTTGAAAATTTTTTACCAAAACTATCGGATTTTGGCAGGCCTACGTCAGCCGCATTCGCATCAAATACCAATATTTCTCGGAATTTGAAACTCCCAAGACGGTATTATGATTCAACACTAAATTTACAAAAGAAATGAGAGCTTACGGGTTCGAAATATCATGTTCAGAGTGTTACGGGTACAGCTCAGGGCGCGTTCGAAAATGTGAATTATGAAAATTTATTCCCGAAGAGTCCATAATGGATAAGAAAATAAAGCACCCATCAGAAAGAAGAGAAAAAGCTGCATCGAGCAGGGTTTTAGTTGACCAAGTATGGAGATTGGTAGCATCAGCTAAAATTCTATAAAAAAAGACAAGTTATGGAAAGGAGATACAATTCGAATGCTACCAGGATCTCTTAGAAATCTTCATTCCATCAAATTTGGCGCCCGTTTGAAGAAGCGAACGAACTTTTGAAATGACGTAATATCATATGTTAGGTTGATGCAAAAGTTCTGTTTTTTGAGGTTTTTTTTTGAGATGACCCGCAATCCTCGTACAGTGAGGAAAAACAAACATATCAAGCTGCAATCGATGCAAAATTTCTCTTTCCAGTAGTTTTAATGTGACTAGTCGAGAGAGAGAGCTGAGATAATTGCTGGAAATTATAACATTTCATTTTCCCAAGTCCAACATTCGCTAATTTACAGAATATTTCATCTGAGACTTTGAGGGAAGTTTCAATAGCCAGCAGATATAGCAAATCTTTTGCTAAGCGAAGCAATTTGTTGTAGCTTTATAGTAACCATTTTATATTTGGCCTATTTCATTCTCGTAGAACATGAAATGGTAACAGTTCAGGTATCATTCGATGCACCTTACCCTCTTTTCTTTAACAATTGTATTTTCATGGCGAAACAAGTAAAATTTGCGGGTAAAACTGCAGTATTTCTCATTTTCACGGGTGCGCACTAATGTACTCTAAGCTTCAAAATAATCATATTTTGCAGCGAAAATCGCTCTTTCACAGTGTAAGGTCAGTAATAGTAATAATCGAGGGTTGAAACTTCAGCATTTCGACCATTTTGCAGTGTTTGGTGCAATGACAAATTGTAGGATTGAAAATTCTTTTTCCTATTCCGTGCACTAGTTTTCGCAATTAACAGATTTTGCTTCCCTTCACCAGATTTTTGCACTTAAATCGATATTTCTCGAAAAAAGGCGCTCGGAATAAGCTAAAGCTTTACAGTTATACTTATAATCGCTTGTAACATAGAATTACTTATGTAAGAACGCTCAGCATTGTTTTGAGAAAACATGAAGATTTAGTTTCCAGTTTCTGGTTATGGAAAGAATACAAAGTTGTATATATAAATATGTGATGTGAAAAGTATATATGTGTGCGAATAGGAGGTTTGTAGAAGCTTTTTGGACGGAGATCTGATTTCGAAACTATTTATTTTTTTTCAATCCTCCCGTAAAACAAACTTGGAGCAGAAACATGGATGCCATTTTATAGAGCCTGCATTGCTACATTAAAAGCTATCCCTCACAAATTTCTGGAGTTCTGCTAGCGGTGCTACGCGAGCAAATAAAAAGCGACATTATTTTCTTGACAACCTGATAACTGGTGGCGGGAACGTCTACCCCCCCCCCCCCCTCCCCCTCCGACCTAGAGGATAGGTCCCGTTCATGAAAGTTACCTACATGGCTCATTCATGAAAGTGATTGGGTTAGTTATAACAAATCAAACTAACTTCTAGAGTTCTCAAAACTCAAAGCTCAAATAATTCTTCAAAATCAGTCAGAAGGCCTTTTCCAAAATTTTTGAGGTCGCAGGCGCATCAAAACATTGGGGAGCAAAAAAAAGAGAAATTTTTTGGAGGGCGCACTAAACGGCATTTCTGTGGCCGCCACTGCCTTGTAGTTGGCAGGAATTTCTATACTATCCATCGATCTGATTCAGCATTAGCTGATTCTTTGATTGTATTATTTTTCTTTATATTCTGATGGCGGATTTCAGTGCTCGACTCTCTAAATCCACGGAGGCGATGTTTTTGAAATGTCGTTCTGGAGTGATAATCAGATTTTTTTGGCTTTCTGCTGCAATCAACTATCGCCTGCATACTATATATAAACTCATGCCGAGGTTAAAAAGTCGAAGTGCCTATTCCATTCATAATGAAATGCGTAGCGCTTTCCGCAGCCAAGTGTAATTGAAAAAATATATGCATTATTTAAGAGTTTCTTGTAACTGGGAAAATCACTGCCATTTTGTTTATTCCCAGGTTGCCTGATTAGCTTATTTTTGGTTCGAACTTTGTGAGCTACACATTCTAATGACGCGCTCGAATAGAGAGCAGGAGGGAACTTAGACTCACACGGGAAAGTCAGATTCATGTTGAAAAGCAGTAAGAAACTAAATGCCAAATGTATGAGAAGACAAGTCTGAACTGATTGAAATGTAATTGCATCTATGAAGGAGGGTTGATGTTGTAGCTCTAGGGATGGTAAATGAGGTTTCTTGGTGGTGTGCTTGAAGGCGCTCAGTCAGAGGAGAGAGGCAATCACAGCCGAGTTTTAAAAGCGAGGGACTTTGCCGATTGGTGCTAGTCGAGCAGAAAGGACGCGATGCACTGCATTTCGACTTGCCCGTTAGAAGCTGTGTTCGGACGACACACAGGACAACATGCAGCGTTTTTTTCCTGTCCGAGAGCGTTGTCGCCGCGTATGTATCGCGCTCGCCGAACAAAGGCCTCAGTGTGCGGGTGTCGCACTCTCTTCGTCATGCTCTTAGTTTGAGAATTCTCGCATCCACTTAGCCTCTGCGAAATCTGCTCACTCTTCTCTCCTTTCGACAACAAGCTTTTTCGGTGTACTTTTCGAAGGCATAAGCGCATAGCCTCACCGATACACTAATGCAAAATGTCGTCAGTGTTGCTAAGATAGTAAGGCTTGCCACTACTCGAATAATCAGTGTCGAGCGGAAAATGCGAGCGCACTTCTGCGACGGGGGAGGCAATTGCAACCAGCCTCCCACATTTGTGTGCGGGCAAGTGCAAGCGTATTGATTTTGCACTTTTGCGAGGGTTTTTCTCTAGCCGTCGCACTGTCCCTATAGCCTCGTTTTCTCTGGAAAGTTTGTACCGCAAATATTTCTCAAAGTGGGCAGTAATGAAAGCGACGTTCTCCTCATACAGCTTGTCTTTCCAATGCAGAACTTGACTCGAACTGAACATTCCCAGCGCTAAGTTAGGATAGAAGCACTAATGCTTGTTGCCATATCTGCATTAAAACCAAGCGCACAACAATGCATTCATTGCAAACACTGCAATCTATTTTTTTGCTCTGTACTAAGTTGAATCGGCTTGGTACTGTTATCTGCTCGATCACTCAAGCTTCTATCATCGTGTTGCACAAGCTCTGCTCAACGCTTCAAATCGCAGGTGGTTCGCTTTAGAAGTCTTATTACTCTTGCTCCAATAACAAAAATACCAAGGTAGTTTGGAGAGACCTCTGTTTCTGAAACGGATGCAAAGCCGTATACAAAGTCAGTCTGAGATACGCTAAGCACAAGACTTCCCGAATTAGAGTGTCACATTGCGCAAGGGTAAGAGATCACCAAAATGAAAGCTTCAACTTGGAGAATTGCCCATAGAAATAGTTAAACAGTGCATTAAGAAGTCCAAGAAAACCACTGCTTATGCGTAACCATCTAAATGTTGGACTACATCACTTACAACAACTTTGAGCATCATTTATCTTCTTTCTTACGCATTGGCATAATGTGAACTCGTTTGTGGATATATGCTTTACTTTCTAACTCAGTACTGCTCTTACTCCCTTTGAAGAAGCGTGAGCAATGTTACGTCGTTGTATACCTTGGCAGGCTTCATGAAGTTTATGTTGACCATCAATTTGCTTGCATTTCCATCTGAGCTGGCTACCTAGAGGATCTATGTTTGATGTCCTTCCGATGCGAATAAATGCGAAACACCAACATTCAGCACCTGGCATTTGTGAAGCCTCTAAAAGTCATATGAAAGACTAAGCTAATGCTATGGATTTTCATACCTGTGGACCTAAATATTCTTAAGCGATCCATCTGACAACTTCCTCATACTTCCAGTACCAGCTACTTTTTCCTTATAGCAGTTTGCATGTTTTATATATCTTAAGGTATTTCATTAACTACCTTTTGTTACTATTCACCTTCAGTAGTCTTGGTGTCTGCGAATGATGTGCTTCCTAGTCGTGCAGTGAACGTCCCACTTGCATGATAAGCGCAACAAGTCTTGAGTGAGCACGCACTTTGTGTATATTTCCGGTATGAATGAACTCTGTCCGAGCATGAAGCTTGCGATCCTTTGAGGAGCAATGCATAAGGTGTGATGCATGGCACGATTGGAATGCGATGGCACGAACATGGCTGAGGGAACCCACGAACGGCCGGCACTAGCAGGCACGGGCGCTTGGCGAACGCACACATACATACACACACACCACACATGCGCGCAGCACTCTCATTTGCGCTGCGTCAGCCGCTTTCGCGCTCGGCGACGGCAGTCGACGCGACACTCTTTGCCGTCGCGAAGAAAAAATGAGCGAGGCGCCGCCCAGCTGCACGACTACGCGCATGTCGCAGCGAACAGCGTTCAAGCGGACTCGCGCTGTCGCAAGGCGGCGCACCCGTTCCGCGCTTTTGCGCATGCGAGTGCACGCGCGTCCGCCTGCCGCACTTTAGAACGTGATTTGTTAACCGAAAAGGGGAAATCGAACTCCTGTGCGTCACTCTTGTGTCGTGCACTCTGCTCTATCGTTTCTTTTCCTTGTATTTTCACGCTGGTGATAGAACTGGAAGAGTGTGCAGCTGATGTATGAACCGGCAACCTAGCCATGTTGCAAAAGCCTTTTCACGTCTTCTTACATCAGCTTTCTATGCGATGCCGCTTTTGAAGCTGAGGAACCAAGAAAAAATACGTTGCGATACCACTGTATTCTCTCACTGAGAGTGCACTTTCTCTATGTCGCTAATTCCCACTTCTGCCTTGTCCTCTTAATTTTATTAAGATATCTCCTTTGACTTGCAATGCTGTTGTATTGCAGTCGTTCAACTACGCTCGACTGCAGCTGCTCGACTTGAGCACGGAATTCGGGACTCAGCCATCGTGGTGATAGCGGGATTTCGCTATTACTTCAATGATTGTATCTTGTGCATGTGTGAATATCGGTTCAACTCCTGAGCCGCATTTATAAGCTATTTGCAAGACGATTTGTACTACGATACGCCTACAACGCGCTCATTCAAGTCTAGAAAGAGCGAGCTTCTAATTGTTTCGTTGTGGTCTCCTGCGCACTCAGCAGAGACATCTGAAGAGTTTGAGTGGAAGGTATGGAATTGGTGTTTGCAGCACAAGTGCTTACTGTTAACTTTCATTTAGAAGGCCGAAAGAACATCAGCGTCGCGCGGGTGTTCTACCAACGAATCACTGCGGAATACGCCATTTTCCGATATAACAAAAAAGCGAAGTCGTAACCGAGAGCGACGTCGCTCGAGCGCCGGCGCAAGCCAGCGTGCTCAGTCCTCATCATTCAAACAATCAAGTGTCGGACTCTTTTACGCCGATGAGGAAGCTGAAAAGAGAGCCTGAAGAGCACAGTGCCGCCACCATGACTCCACCGCCGAATATATGCGTGGATGACGAGGTAAGCGTTCAATCGCCCCTGCGAAAACCCTCTTGTTGTTGTTTCTTCCTGCATTCTCAAAATCTATTTTCGCTCCTTTGAAATGTTGCTAGCAAATTTATGAAAAGCGAAGAGTGGCGTGTCCTTGGGCTACCCTAACCACAATGCGTTCGCCTCTCAAGGCCGGCAGTGGAACATCTCATATATAAAACTGAACTCGGTGTTCTCTGCGGCTCTCGACGCTGCGCTGATTTGTCTGTTGTTCTGCTTACATACACCGGTACGGTTCAACGTCTGCGCTGTTATTTCCTTGTCATGTCGCTGGAGCTAATACTACGAGCACTTATGGTGAGAGCACATTCATTACGACCTTCCATCTTATCTCGAGCTGTATGCTATTATTTTGCCGAAATCTCTACCTAATTTTCTTGCTTTTTCTATGAGCCAGCTGTTCGCATATGCTTGTCCTGTTTCTTGCTTGAAAACATGAAGGGAAAGTGCGGAAATTTTTTCCAGTAGGCGTCAAGATATGTTGGAACGTAGAGCGGAGACGGCGAGAGAACTCCGATAAACGTAGACTCGGCGAAATAACTTCGATTTCATGAGAAGCAGATTGTAGTGTTGCGAGCGCCTTTTTTCTTTGCGAACGGCCGAAGACCGCGGCCAGCCGTTCCCCTTTGTTGAAATCGATCAAAGCGTCCAATAAGGGCAACCTTGGGACGACAAGCAAGCGCAGTGTGGAGGTTGCAGCTAGGCTCAGTGTAGGTAGATGTCCAGCATAGTTAGCTTGAGTTTTTACGGATGTGAGTATTTCAGTCCCTCGAAGTAGTATTTAGTCTGGACGACCTGCCGGGACCGACAGCTGGGAAAGTGCATTTAGAGAACATCGTTGAAAGTGCGAACGTTCGCGTGCTGCTGACTGGGATGTTATTGATCACCGCGTCTATGAGAAGATAACAGTTGTGCAGAATGACACATTCCGCTGAAGTGATGTGATACGAAGTCTATTGTTCTTTTAGCACGCTGAAATTGTTAAAGCTACACCGCAATTTTGACAGATAAAAGGAGTGAATGCACGCATTTGATCGCGAAAAGCTAGCAACGCATCCAACAGTCCCTGCACTTAATATGTGCGCTGATGATGGTAGGAAGTGATTGAAGATGCCTTATCGGTCAACTTTCCAAGACGGCATACATTCTCTGTCATTGCCAGTGTGCGTCCTCGGTGTTCGGGCTGCGCTGGAGCTGGTAATAGTTCGCTTCTCCCACTATTTCAAGGTCATTTCTAAGCCATGGCGCGTACTTCCATGCAGCACAAAGCGCCAGCACGCCCAGTCCACCGCTGAAAGGCCGTGTACACGGTAATGATGGGTACAGGACGTGCAGCTATTTCTGTGGCTAGCAATGTTCAATCAAAGCTGTTATTGGCTTCGTGACGAATATCACTCGAATGGGTGCACGGCGTCTCATATTGTTTATCCGCTGCTTACTGTTGAGCAGCAATGCGATGAATACAGCACTCCTCGGTTTAGTGACTTCCAGCGAAAATCGTTCCAATTCGAGTTTACCTGCACAGAAAAAAGTTGAAATATCATCTTTTGCAAGTGTAACTTTTAACTTGAGGGACAACAGATTTGCTGAAAATAATGCCATTAGTATAGTCCGCCATTTAGTTGTTGATAGTCCATATTTTGCGTGGCAACGCGAACGATGAGAGCGAAGGTCAAAAAGCGATACGAACTTGCGAGTGTGTGGTGTAAAGCGGGTCGAAGCGTTCTCCTACCGCTGATCGAGTGGGCGTTTACCTCTGAGTTCTATCATGGACCGAGACTTTGCAACCTCTAAAAGGGATCTTGCTGTTTAATAATTTCGATCAATTGATAGGTTGTCAGGCTGCATTTTCAATGCCTACTCTCATCTCGATTTGTTGTGAAATATTACCAACTTCATAACACCTGTCTTCATATGCTAGATCGCTTCTTAATCATCTAAAATCAGTTATTATCTTATTACCTCATTACGCTTTGCTGTGCTGCTTTTGGTCTGCTGTTCCCCACTCTGTAGTAGATTTTCATTAAGAAAAATGCGCATTAGCTCTTCCGCTTGTCTCATCTTTTGCTGACAGTCTACGATGTTTTTAGATGTTTCTGCTACCAAAGCAGAAGATTTTTGTCTAATTTTCATAACATTCATTGAGTGCGTTCTCAGTCATGCTTCTCACTGGCGTAGACTTCCGCTCCGCTTTTCAGCTTGAAAGGAAGGGTATTTTAGGTGTCTCGAATTTGCAAACACATATCTTGCGGTCGTATTTACGTTTTCACCTCAACCAACGTTACTCGTGTAATCAAACTTTCAGTGTTTACTGGAACAATCGAAACCCCGTTGTTTCATGAAATTTGCTATCTACAAAGGCTATGAAATGAGCACTGTCTAAAACGTTAATTTGCTAAAGGTCTCATTTTCCATAGGTTGATCTTGTGAGATTATGGTGACAGGAAGTAATTCTGCAAACCTTCATCCCTGCTTGGTCAATATCAATTTTTTGGAAGCCTTCCTTCTCTTATCTCTGAACATATTAGCGAATTATAATCGTCAGACAGAAAATATTGGGAAGATTTGAGAACATGACAAATACTATATTGATCCTTTATAACGATTCCTTCAAAGCTTCATAATCTTCACAGCAGGATATGTACTACTCGATAGCAAATTGCAGCAGTGAAAACCGATTTACTTGCCTGATATTACCACTGTTGTATGCACTCTCGTTTGGGGTTTCATGTGGGCAGACCTTTTTGAAGTTGATCCCTCTATCACGCCTTCAATATCAGTTTTTCCCCATAGTTTTCTCTAGCGATCTCCATTTTCGACGTGATAAACTACATCACGCACATTTTAAAACAATGATGGATTTCCTCCTCTAGCTTCTTCTATACACTTGAATTTTGAGTCATGTATTCGCTAGGAAGTACGTACTATAGTCTGTTCGCCTGTAAGTTGGTTGACGAACTTGACGAGATACACACAGTGCTCGCGCAGCTTGTATTCTACGCATCTAGGTTTGCATGCAAGCCTTCACATTGGAGAACTTATCTTTGCTCTACCACCGAACGCTTCTAGACAGAAGAATGGCATGTTGTTTTCGTTGTGGATGGCAGAGCAAAACGCTGCACTTTATGGGAACGGGCACCGCCGACGTCGGCGTTGCCGCTGAGCGCCGTTTGTGCAACGATGCTTCTCTCCGCTCGCTCGCTCTGTCCCTCCTCGAAAACACCTCGGAATCGATTCGTCGAACTCTCTGTTTCGTACTTTTTACGCATGAGATGAGGCAGGGGCAAAACGATTGCGTTTCCCGCATCTACCATTAGATCGCAGTCCTCTAGGAAAGCTTTTGTAGGGCATCTCACATGCGAAAGATGCTGATTAAGTGCACAGTTCGCCGACTTCTCCCTCCGCTACGATGGTGAGCAGGAAGTGCAACAAGAGAAGCGCAGAGCATTGCGCAGTGCATGGTTTACCCGGGCAGTGCAGTGTCATAATCCTTGTGTAGGGGTGCAGCGATTTGTCCTGCTCGGACTCTGTGTTTGTTATCACTTTCCTCCATCCTCTGCGTCCTGGCCCGTTCGCCCTTGCGATGCCCGCGACCTCCGCGTCCATCACACTCTCTCGTTACCCACTACTGCTAACCGGCTTTTTGTGCGTTCTTATGGTTAGTGGCACCCGTCTGGCACCCTGGACTTGCCAGAATGCTCTACCAGGATGTCTACAGTAGCACCTACGTAAGTTTTTTTTGTCCTCTTCACTGGAAAGCGACAAGAAAAGGTCATTCCGCGGAAGAAACGGAGTCGCAATGCTGCGCAGCCGCTGGCTACTGCAACCCACCGTGTCGCCGCCACAGCCGCATCTACGTGCGTCGGGGAGACGACACGTATTGAATGCAAGAAGGGCTACTTTGAAGCACACTAACCGTATTTTTACCGAGATCATACCCTTGATATGCTTGTCTTCTTTTGAATTCATTCTTTGGGGCCGTGGCTTTCAATGAGCTTTGGGCGAGAGACCACAGTTTTCTGTTTAGCATATTATGCCTCATTGGCTTGAATAGTTGTCTCGCGCTTTCTAGCTTCTTTCTTAAAGGTCTGTGCTAGCGTGTTTATTCTTCTTGAAAAAAACTTGTTATGTAAGGTCACTTTTGCGAACTTCAGGTGAGATTGAACTTACATACTTGAACAAAGTGCTCGAAAAGATACCAGTGGTCATATACAAGGTACATTTCGTCATCGTTGCTGCACGAAAAGTGGGGGCTTCAGAAAAAGACGGTATATCGAGCATATACGAAACCACATTTTTAACAGTTGTGAATCATGTCCATAACCGCTTCGCACTGCTTAAAGCCACAAAATGTAATGTGATTTTGACGATCATTTCTTCATAACTGGACAGCGTTTCCGGGCTTCTCAGCTCGAATGTGATTGTAAGCGCTGTCGAACAGGCGGCCGCTGCCCACCCCTCGTCGTCGTCGACATCGCCATCGCAGCGCCGTTCGCCTTGTCGTTCCTCGTCGCGATGTGTGTTGCAGTTCTGTTTGAGTCGTAGCTGTTCGGCACGTGCGCGGTGCGTCTGTGCGCCTCGTCGCTCTACGATCTGAGTGATGCATCTACATCCCTCAGTCCCGACTTGTTTTTCCCTGCCAGCAGCACCCTTCCTGTGCCAACCATGTTGATGTTTTCGTCTCGTCGTCCTCGTACCCAAGCGCTTTTTCATGATCTTTCTTTCAAATGATAATCACACTCTCCGGTCGGAGATTCGTCAGTGCGTCTCTGAAAGTTCCTTGTTTCCACTTTTGGACATTCATCAAAGTCCTCTTCGGAAGCACTGGTTTCGAAGTCTCATGTTATTTCGTTGATACTCTTCGTATGTCTATTCCGACTCTTGTTTCCTTTTCATTTCTCATTTTTTGTGCTTCATCTCACTCTCATCCTATAGCGCCACCTAACACCAATATGAGTTGCTTGAATGATGTCGGCGCCGACCTGTTGCGGCCTGCTGATTTTTTCATCGTCAGTCCTAGACTACCGTAGTTGTTGACGGTAACTTTTGTTTCCCGCTTGCGGCCCCGACCAGCGGTGAACTAGGTTTGCACTTTTGTTTGTGCATTTCATCCCTAATTAAATGTATATTTTGGCGTCAGAGTTCATGTGATCTTCATCATCCTAGCTGGGTAGCTAGCTATGCGTTACGACAGTGTAGTGAGGAGAAGAGAAGTCCATTTTGAGACTTCGTTCTGATTAATCACCTTAATGTCCACCTCTCATGGTTTTCGTCTTTTTTCAGTTTTCATGCAGTTTTCTGCTACAACCTTCTTTTCCGCTGAACTGTGCACCGCGCAGAATAGCAAACTCTCGTTTTCAGTGTTGTTTCATCATGCATGCAATTTAAGATCTCTTCAAAGTCTTTTTCCTTAACTGTCTCATTCAACAAATGCTTCCCTGTAGGTACAAATTTACCAGAAACGATCGTCTGTCCGCATTAGCGTTTTGCCACTGTCTGAGGTTGTTTTGAGAGCTTGCCCCTTGCGTGGTTGCCGTCATCTATCCTGTTTTCGTCCGCGTGCATGTAATCTCGAGAATAACATGAGCACTACCGTAGTCCCGACGGGGTGGGCGGGCGCACTGCCATCCGCTCAAGACCAATCAAATCGCGAGTATGTGTGTTCCAACGAACAGCACTTGCTCCTTTCTTCGGTGCAAGAAAGTTGGACGTGTACGGGTGTCAAAGCTATGGAAAGTAAAAGTACTTCATTGTTTCGTACCAGTGAGCGTGCTATAAGCATTTGTTGATTGCGCTGCTATTTCCTTAGGGGTCTGGGGCAAACTGCTCAAATTTAGCTATCACAGGTGCCACTTCATTTGACGAGCGCTGCTAATGTAATCTATGTAGACTTGAAGAACTTCCTCGAGGTTCTGGTCAGACAGTGGTGTGTTGGTGGGAGTTAACGTCCGAAGGGCGTGAAAAACGCGTGAGCGTGTAGCATGTGAACGGGGGCGTGACCGTTTTTTGCCTCAGCCCAGTAATGCCCTCACCATACCATTTTTTCTGCGTTTTCATGGGGGTCGGCGTCCCGATCCTATGCACCCGCTGGATTCTTGTTTTGAGTGAAGGAAAGAAGTAAGCAAGCAGTGCTAAAGCTTCAAGAGTTACGCAGCCAATCCTTGTAGATCGCGTCTATCAATTTCTCAGAGTTGTGGTAATCGGTCTCCTATCCCCTTCTATCTTTTGGGTGTTTCCATGAGCGCATCGTATTGTACAGCATATCTTCTTTATGTTCTTTCTTCCACACCTCCAATTCATGAGTATGAGAAGCCTCAGTTAGGAGATGTCGTTTAGCCTCACTAGTCATCATCATTTAGTATTTCTCTGGAGGTTGTGGAAAGAAAGATCTTAGCCTATGTGTTCGACCACGGTACGTTCTTTATAGTGGTGCGCTAATTTCTGAACAAAAACTGCAACATTCTGTACTTCCTGGATCCTATGGAGACGCGATGGCTGGTTAAGCGAAAACACACGTTCGTTTGTTAATTTCATTCGCTGTTTTCAACTCAATATTCGCACGGCGGCTCTGCCTCAGCCATGCTATCTCCTTTAGCTGTTCTCCGATCCTTTCAGCTGTGTTGTTATTGTGGAGCATGTGTGGTGCGCGTGTGTTTTCCTCACCCCACGTTGCTCCATGGTGAGTTGTTTTTGTCTGAACGCGGAATAACATCCTAGAAGTATACGGTAGTTTCAATGGCCTATGGCATCGCCTTGCTTATTGAGCCGCTCGCGTCCGTCTCATTTGTACCCACTGTTCATTCACATCGCTATCCCTGTATCTCTTCCCGGTTTATAACTTATCCTATAGTGGAGTGTGCATTAAGCGCTGAGGGTCTTGGCTCCGAAAATAAATTGCTCTAATATGCTAGAGAAATAGATGTTAAGTTGCTTCAGTCTCCTCTAGCCCTTCCGAGGTTCCATTTTGATCAGAGGGTGCATTATCGTTTGTTGAACTAGATGCTGAAAATGTGCTTTAGCTACACTTGGGCCTTCCTACCATCCGCAAATGGAAATTATGTATTTGGAACTTGGATTGTAGGTGAAGTTAGACTGTTAGGCAAGTTAGGAGACAGCAAAACCTCGTCGCGGCTTTCTGCTTGGTCTGCGGACGTCGAAGTGCAGTATTGCGGAGTATAGATCGAAGTGCTTCTGACAGGCAATATTGACTGCATAGTTTTAGATGTAGTGTTCGTTTCACGGCGTTCGACCTCGACCACGCCGCATTCGACCTATCTACGCGCTACTTCGTCCGCTGCTGGCTGTGCTCGTATTTTAATAGGACACGTTAACTATATGGCGTTGTTCAAGGTTTTTCGATGAATGAAGGTCGCGAACGCGCCGCGCAGCCGAACGAACGGCTAAAAACGCTGGTTCGCAACAGTATTCAACCGTCCAACTCCAGCCTTTCTACTCTTTTTTTTTTGCTGCAAATCCACACTGCGACTCTTCTTTCCTTTCCGGAGCTGCACATTGGCTTCTTCCGTCCTACGTATCCATGTGCGCGTCGTGCAACAGTAGCAGGTCTCCTTCCAACGCCAACAACCTGCTCTCTTCTTTGCTATTCGTGATCACACTACGTGTCAAAATGCCAATAGCGAAAATTGTCGCTACGGTAACATGCTGAGCACAACCACATATTTTCGACGTATGTCCAGTCATCCACCTGTATGCCAGCCGTCGTTTCTTCGCTCCTGATTTTTTTTCAATATCAGAGTGGGTTCAGACTAAATTCCATCGCTGACCTTTGAAATATTGCTAGTCTTTTTATTGAAGATTAGCAATAGCGAAAATAGTGATGGATATGATTGGGTCGAACACGGTAGTGCAGGCAATACGGCTATAACAAAATCATATCAAGTTGTGGAACATTCGATACACATCTTCCTATCGTCTTTCCAATACACCCTCTTTTCACATGAACGCATTGTACACGTCTCTTACTGTTGCCTCACTTGCCACTGTCTCCTCCTTCATTGTAGAGAAATTTTAGCGTCACATGCAGATCGTGTCGCAAACTTTGTTTGTGTCTGTACGTGATTATGTATCATCGCTATCATTGTCGTGTCTTTACAAGAGTATTCCGCCGTTTGAAGGCGTCGGCATGGTGAAGCAGCCGACGGAGCACAGTGATCAGCACTAGCGCTCGTAAATAGCGAAGGTCGTGACAAGTTCGCGCCTGACGCTACGAACTGTTTGAGTCGTTACCGTAGTTATTATGGTGGACGTTAACAATCTTCTCTCCTCACAGAACTACCTCAACTGGAGTATGCTTAATAAGTTTTATGGCAAGGTAAGTAGTGTTGCGGAAGTACCTAACGGATTAGATAGGCTAGTCATAGATAACGATCCATTTGATTTGTAAGCATTGCTAATTGTTGCAAAAGTTTAACCCAACGCATTCATCTTCACCCTTGCGCTGGGACATTGTGGCACAAGCTTTTTTTTATCTTGGGAAATAGTGCTACTCGTTAAATGTTCAATTTCTGTTGATGCAATTGCTCATAACAGAGCACTACGTGAGAAATGTATTGATCGGTGGTGCTGACGCGAACATTTTAACAGAGCGCATCGTTGCATTTCCATCATTCTGAATTCGCTCAAAGTTGCCAACGATCGCGAATTTAAACTTTGCGGTTTTGCACATCATCTTCCTCGCTGCTGAAAATCTCCAATTATCACATTCTAATAGTGTGATTGTAAAAGCAAAGTCGCTTTACATAGAAATCTTTTGAATTGGACTTTTTTGCATGATAGCAGTGTCTATAATTGCCTGGTTATAAATCCATGGGACAGTTCCGCTGATGTAAACTCATCATGAATAGTTCAGATTTGAGATTTATTCACTAATTCATGCACAGAATGTATTCTTGGTGTCAATCATTTTTTTTCAGCCGCAGATGAGCACGCCGGACGATCCGGTAATACACTCACCTCCATCCTTAGGTGGACAACTGATGAACGGTGATGATCAATTATTCCAGAAGTTCCCGTGAAAAAACGTCATTGTTCGCGCAAGTTTCAGGTTTTAACCCTGCTTTGACTTCGGCTAAAATGGAAGAAGGCATGGCTGCTGCATGCGCTTCTCCCGATGCTAGCGGCATCGATCCTAACAGCGATGGGGTGAGTTAGACGGCTTTCTCTAAATCTGAACACATGATCAATCTGTTCGCAAATTGCTGTCGAAGTGGTCATTCCTCTGTTAATTGTTTCTGCTGTGTCCTCTGTGCACTTCCTGGTGTTCGCTTCCTCTTGAAAACCCAGAAGTACAGTTGCATGCAAGTGAAAGGGCACATGTTCTAGAGCAGACTTACATTGACGTGTATTCCTCAGGAAGCACGACGTAGACAGAAGACCTGCCGTGTTTGTGGCGACCATGCCACCGGCTACAATTTCAATGTGATCACCTGCGAGTCCTGCAAAGCATTCTTCCGTCGCAATGCTCTTCGACCAAAGGCAGGTTTATTCGGTTATGCCTGACCTTCTCTCATTTTTTCCTTTCCAGGAATTCAAATGCCCCTATTCAGAAGATTGTGAAATCAATGCCGTCAGTAGGCGCTTTTGTCAGAAATGCCGATTGCGGAAATGTTTTGCGGTAATTTCGCTGCAGCTCGAGTTTTAGATACATGTCATAATTTTTTAGGTGGGTATGAAAAAAGAATGGATTTTAAATGAAGAGCAACTGCGACGAAGAAAAAATTCTCGACTGAACAACATGGCTAATCAGCAGAGGCAAAAGCAGGTTCATAAATGTCGTCGCCTTCTGAATTACCCGCTAGAGTTTTGCTGTTAGTATTCATTCCAGGAACTTGCCCGACAACATGCGGCTGTCAAAGCAATGACATCACCGCTATCCATATCACCAATGGTGGATGCGCAGGTTGGAATTTGCGCAGCATATGCATTCACTATCACAATCTTACTGTCTTTGGTAACCACAGCGCGATTGTTCAGTTTCAGCTCGGAGCTCTCAGTGGTCGCGGAGGAATACCGCCGTTGGTGAGCCCTGCCGGGCAGGTTGGTATATCCCAAGCTGCCGCCGTGTTCCGTGACCCCACCACATGCTTTCAGTATCCGCTGATGAGCCCAGCTGGATCCGGTTCGTCTGATTCACCCCCTTCCCGACCGCTCGGGTTGATGCCCGGAAGTCAAGGGAGCCCTGATGCAGTTAGTTTATTGCCTTTTCAGACCTTCTATTCAATTGGTTCTGTTTTCGTTGCAGTACGATCCGAACATGATGATGCAACAGCGGCTCCGTTCACAGTTGCCGCAAGCGCCTATGCCTGGAAGCAAAGTCGTGGATCCATCGCGTCAGGTAAGCGAGAAATCCGTGTTTCAATAGTTTTAGCTTTGAAGAGGTTATTCACTCCCTGTATCATACAGGTAATTATTTCGATGGATGAATATCACAGTCTTGTGCAGCGCGCAACTCGTCCCGGTGAGGAGGAACCTCTCTCGAAAAGGTATTTCCACTAGCCTTCATCTGACCTGCTTCTGAAGAAAATTGTTTTCAGACCTGCGTATTCGCCTACAGAGCTGGTAGCTCCGCAACCAAGGCCATTCCAGGCACCTTCGAGTCAGATGCTACCAGTTCCCAGCCTGTCTCAGATTCGACCCGGTACATCCAGATATCACTTTAGATCGTCTGCAAATAACATCGATTAGATTTAGTGGATTCAGGCGTCCCCACCTACACGGATCTTGGAGCAGCAACGAGTGGCGACTTGCCGAAACCGTCGTTCACCACAGGCAGTTATGATGAAGGCATGGAAAAGATGAACATGTTTTTCCACAACACAATCGAGGATGCCTTAAAGATCGATAGTCCGGATGATCGTTCAGGATCTGCTGCATCGGGCATTGTGACGTCACCAGCGGCTACCAGCTCCACCAGTCTTCCTCTCGAGGTGAGAACAAGCGCTTCGGACAATCTGGACCTGAGGTGGCGATCTGGTGAATTGGCGAGGAGGGAATATGCGCCTTTTCAGGCGGAAACGTCTGGAACCTCGTTGGCAAACCCGTCTGATAAAAGGCTGAGCTACCAACTCAACGCAGCAGAGCTGCAAGCCCTTGATCTGGTAGTTTGAAAAAGATTCTTATTCACATTCTCACAACAAACTCTACGCTTCAGATCCAAGAAGCTTTCAAGGGTATGAATGATCCCATGGAGTCAGGTCGTCAGAAAGCGTCGTTCTTGAAGGTGCGCAGAAACTTGTTGTGATTCATGGTATTTCCGTTCATTCTAGAATGAAAAGACTCCTGCTGACATCATGAATATCATGGATGTAACAATGCGTCGATTTGTAAAGATGGCTAAGAAATTGCCAGCATTCAATGACCTGAGCCAGGATGGGAAATTTGCGCTCTTAAAAGGCGAGAGACCAAATTTCGTCTGGTTTCTCTCACATTGGCTTGATTTTTCAGGTGGAATGATTGAGATGCTTACTGTGCGTGGTGTGCGTCGTTTTGATAGCAATTCCGGAGCTTGGACCACACCAACTTTGAATGAAAATGCTGAAGTATCTATCAACATGTTTGATCAGCTAAATGCCGACGTAAGGAATGAACAGAAGATGCGCTTCCTTCAGTATGTTGATTCTGTTCCGCATTCACATTTCTTTCATCAAAATTTTCTATTGCAGATTCTTTAAAATCTTTCACGACGATATCCGCAGTAACGACTTGGTGATCTCGATGATCATGCTTATTGTGCTATTTTCACCAAGAGATTGCATCACAGATCCAGAGGATCGTAGAATCATCGCCAGACATCATGAGCAGTTCTGCGCTCTCCTGAACAGGTTCGGTTTTGCAAAATTATTCTAATTCTATAGAGCCTCAGCCGTCTTGGAACATAATTCGCTAAGCTCAACACAGTGCTTCCTCGCAGTATCGGTATCTTCCTCATATAGCGTGTGCGATTGGGCAGGTGTTGTGAGTCACCGTTCTTGGATATACAGCGATTCTATGCTTCTAATAATATATGTAATGAAACCACAGCTTCTCCGGGTACCTTGCGAATTCGTTTGTACCGTAACGGCTTACGCAAGTCACTCCTTCTTCCCCATGCATTAGTTCTGTATAAGCAAAAGAATTTTTGAGTTACATGAGAATGAATGAGTGGGAACATTCCATGGCAAAGAAGAAAACGTAAGTTTCAGTGTGCGAAGTGAAACACGCTTGAAAGTCGCAATTTTTTGTGCTCATATTCTTTTTCCGCTGTTTCTCAGCTCTGTTCAGGTACTTGGAGTCACTTTACGGGGACGATGCGCACAAGCTGAACGAACAGCTTCCAACTGCTCTTCGCATGTTGCGCGAAATCTCCACAGCATGTGGCGTGCTGTTTTTGGGAACCGTGAATACCAGTGAGGCTGAACCTTTACCTCGAGAGTTCTTCAAGGTCGAGTAGGCCGCGGGCTCGCGACCAACAGAATCGCGGAGCCAGTCCATCTGCGCGTTCTTCTCCCACCTTCATGTATTAATCCACTCACTCAAACGCGTACCATCTACCCCTTACTGCATCCAACTCACGTGTCATCATTTTCTGTCATTTGTTGGAATATCCGTTCTATCCCCGTGAATCCTCCCTGTGTAGGTGCCCCTTCGAAGCACCTTTCCCTCTTTTATACTGTGTCATCCCTATATCCACGTTTTATGTGGATGAAGGAGCTCCCCTGGTTTATTTGTATTATTTTTCAAGCTATCTCCTTTTTTGGCTACGATGTCGTAATCATAAGTTGATACCTCATATATCTTTGTGATTCGTAGTTTTTCTCTGTTCTGTTTGTTTGTTTTCTTGGCACGTGACCCTTCCAAATTGTTTGAATAGTTCATTTTTATAGTCGTGCGTTGTACATTAGTCGAGTGTCTGACACCGGTTACGCTAGAATAATTACGGTATTTACGTAAAAAGCTTATATGAATTCCCTATTCGCAACATTGCGAGCGCAAAGAAAATTGTCTAATTTCTTCGACCTTTTTTTGGCCCGGTTTACTTCTAAGGAACCTCTCTAGAACCTACCTCTCCCATTTTTATCTCGACCGTATGTCCTAATATTCTAATTATAATGGTAATAATAAGAGCGCTTAATTTAAGTGCTTTCTTTTCGTCCGTCTATACCATATATCAGTTGATCACCTTTTTTTTATTGAGAACAGCACCCCCTGTAATTTTTCTTTATTTGTAGTGCAATTAGACTCGTGATTGGGATTTTGTTTTTTATAACTTTTCTTTTCTTCAATGAGAAAGTATGCACGTACACAAGCCTATTCGAATGAGACGTCGTTGTTCAGGTACTCGGTTAGATGGTGAAACCCTGTGTTACTATTTTCGACAAATCAAGAAATAGAGGAATCCGCCTATGCAAACACTTATCACACAATCATGTATCCCTGTAATTCTCGAAAGGTTTGCGAGAGTAGCTCGCAACTGCGCTGTTGGTGTCATAGGAACATTCTTCACAGGACGGTGGTTTTTACTTTCCGTTTTACCCATGGGCAGCGTTGCACTCATTCGTTGCGGCACGTCGTTCTATTTTTTTCCTTCGGAGTGTCTAATGGTTTAAAGAGAATAAATCGGTTATCAATCACTCCTTTTCCTTCTGTATAACAAAGTAAATACACAGCAAGATTATGATATTGCTTATTGCTCCATCGGCTGTCTTTCTAGAGGCACTTCATAAATGTTAAGGTTTACTCTCTTATCATAGAGGTTGGTAAGAAAACCCATTGTTGCAGCGGAGATATCATTTCTTATTTGGAGGTCGAGCAGAGCTTTGCGTGAGCATTCGACCAATCTGCTGCTTATAGTTGCTTATAGTCAGCACATTATGTGCCTCACATAGATAAAGGTAAACGAGAAGACCATAATATGTTACGGTAAATCAAAACTGAATTGCTCTGTATCGTTGCAAACAAACCAACACACAGTTGATAGTTCCCTGAGGTATATTTAGTATATGAACGGCAGTATTAGCATGTACATGAAGGAGGTTCAACAAAGAGTTTGCATCGATATAAATTAGAAACTATACTTGGAAGTAATTGTTTTTACAAGTAGGAATGAAGGTTGGTTGAAGTTTTTGGAATGGGATGTGTATTGTCTTGCGCGACCTGGAACACTGTTTCCAAATCTAAGCTTCCTGGGCGCGCAGTTATGAAGGGTTCTAGGGCCTGAAGTAGGGAAGTGGCACACATTACGAGTGAGAGCACCACACCCATGTGTCAGCTGGATGGTTATCTTGCAGGCAGATGCTCCCAGATTCACTTTTTCCTGTTTGTCGTTTTGCTTGCAAAAAACTCCTATGACCTTGGTTATCGTTCAAGCACCACCACATCCCTTTTTCATCACTGTTCCACACCAGTTCAATGGTCTTCTGGAAAATCTACGCAAGATTTTTGAGGCAGAGGAAGAAAGCCAACAAAAATCAACATCTCACGCACACTTATGGTGAATATATAAGGAGATGCAGGTATAATTTTTGTTAACATGCAAAGACATGTGCAAACTAGGTCATCTTGAGAACCTCCGCTATCTATGAGTCAATGAGTTTTTCGAAGGAAGGTGCAATCAAAATAGAGAGAGGGTCTATGTGTGTACGGTACCCAAGCTCACAAACTTTTGCAAAGCTGAAACGATAGTTTTATGCAAAATTGAAACGGAAAATATGGGAGGAGTGGGGGAAGAATTGAACCTGGAAACTATACTTGGGACCGAATCGAATGATTATTCGATTATTCGAATAAATTATTCGAATGCGAATCATTCGAAAAGTCGAATATTCGAAAATCTGAGATTTCGAATAAAATTCGAAAGTCGAATATTCGAAATTTTCAGTTTTCGAATATATTCGATATTCGAATATTCGAAAATTTCAACTTTCGAATACTATTCGAAAGTCGAATATTCGAAAATCTCGATTTTCGAATATTATTCGAAAGTCGAATATTCGATGGTCATCAATTCGATCATTCGATGGACATCGAATATTCGAATCATTCGATGAACATCGAATATTCGAATATTCGATAATTTGAATGATGAAACCAGAGCACGGCGCAGATTGTATGGAAGCAAGCTGGATTTGGTTTTTGAGGCGAAAAAGCAAAAGGATATCATTTTTGTGGCCAAAAATTGCGACGTTTTTTAGTCGGCGTTTCGTCTTTTGAGGGTTTCTTACGTTTGGGGCTGACAGTCAAAGGGGACTTCGTTTTCAAGAAGCCTAGACACGATCTCATGCTGGGCCCTAGATGGAACTCCTTAAGCCTAGCACGTCACTGTAGGAGTTTCTATGCTACAACTCTCAATGGGGAGTGTATATGCATATGCTTTGTGGTCCTGGCGCAGTAGTCTATACAATAATCGTGATGCGCCATTTCTGTGGCAGATGTAGCTGCTATCGATTTTTCGTCAACAGCGTCTATCAGTTCTTCATGAGCGTCATTGAGTAAATTTTAGAACTTAAACTTAGAGTTTTAACGTTTAGATCCACCGTCACACGGCTTTATGACACTAACAGGAAAAAGTGAAAAATGAGCACCATATTTGATCTGCGCACCGAACAACCTCCTAGACCAAGGTTCAACAAGATTTCAAAATTTTGTAGATACTGGTCATTACGATCCCCCCCCCCCCCACATGCCTGCTGAAAGTACGAGCAAAATATACTCCGGAGGACTTTTTAGCTGCATCTCTTCTTTTGTACACTATTTTTCTCTGACCAAACTCAGATTTATCTCTGAGTTCCACGATAGACTGTAACGCCCACCAAACTCACAGTTATCACAAAGCACAGCTGCGCGTTCGGTGGCGCTGTTTCTTGTGCAGAATGATTTCGACAGTGTTTTCCTACTAGGGATAAATTGCCGGTTACGGGGTCTCCTGCCATATATCGCTTTCTAGATTTGGTCCATCCAGCTGTTGAAGGGGTAAGAAAGGTGCGAGTCAGCTCAGATATAACTCAGAGTTAAGTCAGAGTAACTGTGAGTTCCGACCAGGTTACTACCGACCCTGCCTGAGGTCTAGTGCACGCTGTTCTTCATTCGCATTCGGAAAAGGTGATAGATGTGAACGTGAACGTGAAGGTGTTTCTGATAACGTCGCAGCGTTACTTCTACTCGACATTTTAAAATGAGGGCGTACTCAAGATAATGCACTAGCGACCGGGAGGATAGTGTTGTGTCAGGAAGTTAGTCGTTTGTTGTAGTGTGAGAACAGGGATATGGTAGAACCAGTCATTGTATAGTGTTTCCGCAGCAGCGGTCTAGCTTATCGCGTTGCCAACGAGAGGAATGCTTTTTGCCACGAGTGTCGAGTCGAAAGTTGTGGGTAAAAGCACTAATACAGTTCAACAATGTGTATACTATATGTGTATCGTGGAGTTGTCGACGGCGTGGACTAGATGTAAAGAATCCGCGCAACGCGCTGAAATATACGTCATGTACTGCAGGGTAGTAGTCCCATAAAAGGGAACTACAAAGACCTAAAGTACTTGTAAACTATGCGCTTGGTCATGTTATCATACCCATAAACATTGATTTTTCGAATGATATTCGAAAATCGAATGATATTCGAAGGTCGAATGATATTCGATATTCGAATGACATTCGATATTCGAATATTCGAAATTTTCGATTTTCGAATATCATTCGATAGTCGAATATTCGAAATTTTCGATTTTCGAATATTATTCGATAGTCGAATATTCGAAATTTTTGATTTTCGAATATATTCGATAGTCGAATATTCGAAATTTTCGATTTTCGAATATTATTCGATAGTCGAATATTCGAAATTTCCAATTTTCGAATATATTCGATATTCGAATATTGAAAAAAATTTCGAATTTCCCCAAGTATACTGGAAACTATACCTTGGATCGAATCGAATGATTATTCGATTATTCGAATTTGAAAATTCGAATATTCGAAAATATGAGATTTCGAATACTAGATAGTCGAATATTCGAAAATTTCGATTTTCGAATACCATTCGGTGTCGACTGTTAGAAAAATTTTTCGAGTTTCCCTATGTATACTGAAAACATCTGCCTGCAAAACCGCTGCACTAACCACTATGTCACTCGACAAACATTTGTTTGTCCCTTTCACTCGTACGTGTGCAACTGCCCAGTTTCAGCCTCGAAAACCCTTTATAACTTACCACCTAGAAATGTTTCGCAGACACAGAAGGCAGATTTTCCACATGAATGACCACTTAGACAAACCTTCCTTTCCTTGTTAAATGCGTCCACGCGGATTCATGTTATAGCAACGGAATCGTGTCTAATGTTTACTGTAAACTAATGGTAATACAACATCAGGTCTCAACTGTAGCATCATATCGGCGTCGAGCTTAGCACTGACCATTCAGATTGAGGGCGGTAGTCGATGCTGTATAGTAGCGGAACCGCTAACTGAAAAATCAGAAGTCCCGCTGCAAAATATGAATTCCGAAGCGAGAAAACCGCTCCAAAAGGTAGAAGCGTCACGCTCCGCCCATCAACGTGGGTGGTCCGAAAATAACACCATCTGTGCTTCAGTGTGTCCGAAACATCATAAATCCGCCCTTTATTATGATCATCAAATCAACCCCCTTGTCTGCTTTAAAGCATTCGGACTTGTATCTTCAGACCACCCACATTGATGGGTGAAGTGAGCGTTGCCGCTTCTGGAGCGGTTTTCTCGCTTCGGAATCCATATTTTGCAACAAGACCTAGGCGATTGGTTAGTTAGGTTTCCCGTGACTACATAGCATCAGAATCATATCAACCTTAATTGGGGACGGTGCCTTCAACATCTGATTTACACTTCGCTATTGCGCAAGAAGCTTTACTGTAAACGGGCATTATTGGAATGGAACGTATAGGTTGTATCAATCGGCATTGCTCCCCCTACTGCGTCTTGCGATGACACACTGTCCCTGCGGCGCGCCTCAACGTGTGGGAGTTCGCACGTGTTACATCCCGCACCGCTGATCGCGTCAGGACGTTGCATGATCGATGCTGGTTGAACAACCTATAAATGCATGCGTGAAAAGTGACATGAAAAGCGTACTACTTGACGAAAGAGAGTAGAACAAAATCATGGTCATGCATTTTCTTGCTCAAATGAAAGAGACCACTCATTGATTACTAGTATTACTAGCTGGCTTACCCGGCTCCGCCGTATCCGGACCAAACTTGGCACACATACACTTCGGGCTCCGGCGGGTGTCACAGTCCACTTTTCGTTATCGATCGATGTCGATTTTACCGATTTTTATCGATTTTTCCGCAGAGTTCACCTACAGGGCTAGGAGTTGGCACAGGGGGGTAATCGAGCATGGGGATTCCGAATACAATATTAGTTTTCAGAATTATCGGTTACTTTTGTTGATTTTCTCGATTTTTTGTAAATTTTGACATGCGAGGCTGGGATTTTGCACAGGGGGGTAATCGAGCATGCTGATTACGAACACAATATTAGTTTTCAGGATCGTCCATTACTTTTATCGATTTTATCGATTTTTTTTTGTAAAGTTTGACCTGCGGGGCTGGGAGTTTGCACAGGGGGTAATCGAGCATGCAGATTACGAATACAATATTAGTTTTCAAGATCGTCCATTACTTTTATCGATTTTATCGATTTTTTGAAAATTTGAGCTAGGGGGCTGGAATTTGGCACAGGGGTGTAATCGAGCATGCTGATCACCCCCCTTGGGGATGATCAGCATGCTCGATTACCCCCCTGTGCCAACTCCCAGCTTCCTAGCTCAAACTTTGCAAAAAATCGATAAAATCGATAAAAGTAATCGATAATCCCGAAAACCAATATTGTATTCGGAATCTGCATGCTCGATTACCCCCTGTGCAAACTCCCAGCCCCGCAGGTCAAACTTTACAAAAAAAAATCGATAAAATCGATAAAAGTAATGGACGATCCTGAAAACTAATATTGTGTTCGTAATCAGCATGCTCGATTACCCCCCTGTGCAAAATCCCAGCCTCGCATGTCAAAATTTACAAAAAATCGAGAAAATCAACAAAAGTAACCGATAATTCTGAAAACTAATATTGTATTCGGAATCCCCATGCTCGATTACCCCCCTGTGCCAACTCCCAGCCCCGTAGGTGAACTCAGCAAAAAAATCGATAAAAATCGATAAAATCGATATCGATCGATGACGAAAAGTAGCCTATGACACCCGCCGGGGCCCGTAGTGTATGTGTGCCAAGTTTGGTCCGGATCGGTTCAGAAATGGAATTTTCTATTCGGAACATACGTACACACATACATACAGACATACATACATACAAACAGACATTCAGCTTTATATATAAGATTCGAAAAAATCGTTACCACGTTTCCAATCGTCATGCAGTGTCGAGCAAACACCTCGGTATGGTGAACTGCACAGCTATGAACAGGTCAGTGGCGGTCCCAGGATTTCCGTTCGGGGTGGGGGAGGGGAGGAGGGAGGGCGGCAAAAAATCATTTTTAAATGAACACTTTGACTTCAAATCAAACTTTCGGAGTGCGTGGATAACGCACGCACTCCGAAAGTTTGATTTGAAGTCAAAGTCTTCATTTAAAAATGATTTTTTGCCGCCCTCCCTCCCCCCCCCCCCCTCCTCAAATTACTTGCGGTCCCATGAACCTGGGATCTAGAACGCCCCGAAAAAGTTTTCACAAGAGTAATTTGATTTTTCAAAAAAACTTTTGCACATTTTCATAAACCACGCAAGTAGATATGAGCGGCTCCACAAATTTGGCGAGGCGGAGCTGCGCTAGCGTGCCTTGCGTTGCGGTTGCCCTGTGCTGAGGCATACCTGATCCATCGATCTTTGGTGAAGATCACGATCCCGCCTCGCCAAAGTTGGGGAGTCGACAATAACAGAAATTTCGCGACCTCCTCCCCGTCCGTCCGCCCCTGGAACGAATCGCCACTGGATCAGCCACTCTCACCATGTTGAAGCCATATCTGGGCTTTGCAGCGCTTTATCAAAGCTTTCTATGTCCGAATTCGGTGCCAAATACGTTCAAGTGGGCGGGCTCCGAAACGAAAGCGAGATCCGTAAGACTTCCAAAGTGGATTTCAGGCTTATCAGACGCGCTTTTTCCGCTTTTTCGCCTTGGACTTCACTGATAGACGAGTTGGGGGTCTGCCACTGCGACGCTTCAAAATCCCTGTACCCATCATTTTGCCGGGACGCTGCCTATAAGCAGCGACAAGGAAAATAGAGGTAGTCAAAATCCTATGTTTAGAGGTTTTTTGACCTGAGCCACTCGATAACCATTATGGAACCGTTAGGCAGACGTTCAAATGAAGACGTTGGCAGCCACGAAGCAGTCCGCGGTTAAAAGCTTGATTTAATTACACATATTCTGCGGAATCGTTTGCGCATGGGATGAAACAATGCATGTAAGTCTGAGGTACAGTCCGTGTTAATCACGTGCTCTCTCTTCTGTAAGCGCAATGAGCTTTGCGCCACGTTCGCGCGCGCGTATGGCTCGGGCACTCAAGTTGGCCTCATCGATTGGAGGTCGGCACGCGGGCCCTTGCGTTGCGCATACGTAGTACCCATGCGAAAGGGAATACGTAATTGACATCGACTGTATGAATAACCTTACCTCTCTTGATGCCAGCGTTTTGTAGCAAATCGGTAGAACAGCGGCGTACAAATAATAACTTACTATAGATAACTAAGTCCTATAGGAAGCCGAAAAGAAGTTAGGCAGATCAATGCGCTTGTGTTATTAGTAACAGAGTCGAGCATGGGTATCCCTTATCTGAAGGGCCGCTGAGAATCCACAGAGGAGAGGCTTGCAACGAAGTAAAAACTAAGAACCGTACCTCATTTTCATGCCCTGCACTGCGACTTGCGTTTGATTCTTGTTCCAGCTCGCTCTTATCTGCTGTAATCCATCCTCCCTGTGAGATCTGGAGTGCTTCATACATAGACCTTCTTTTCTAAAGGGCGTCTATAAAAATCCCAAACACCTCGCTTACCTGAGCATATCCGTTGCGCTGATCCTGCAAACGCTCTCTGGGCGTAAAAATGTCGAAATCGATCCTTTTCTGGGGCTTTACTGGGCAATGGACGCAGAAGTCGCCAATATTAGAGACGTAGAGTCGTTCACGACTCCATGATCTCAATGCCACGTCGGGCAGGTGCGAGGCTAGACTATATGTCGCCAAAGGCGAGGTCTCGTGTGTATCTGCTACCAAATATGCACCTCTTGTTATCAAGAGTACATTTGTTGCAGTTGTCCGCACGGGAACCCCTCTTCGGCGACATATAGTCCTCTACCCCATGTACGAATAGAGGAAAACGTAGACTTCAAGACAGCTGTCCCGATGAAGCTCGCCCGTCCAGGCACGATTTCAAATTGGAAGCCAAAGTGCACTTATAGAATGATTGTGGGTTATGGGCAGGGTCGAGCAAGAGATGTGGCACACAACCGCCGCATACGATCCCCCCACCCCCCTAAGTTCTTCTCGGTACCCTCCCCCCCTCAGCATTTTCGTTTTCCTACCATGGGCATGACATAAGGGCCCTTCCAAGCTAACCGGCAACATATTCATAACTGTCATGTCATAACCCTCGTGGGCCAAGTTTCAGCAAATTCTGGGAGGTGGTGCAGGAGGAACCAAAGCCCTTGCCGCCTGTATCCAAAGGGGAATGGGGAAGGAAGAGGAGGCTCCGCCCATCGCTCCGCCCACGGGATGCTCCCATTGTGTGTTGAGCAAGAATGGTGGATCGACTACCGAATATTGATCAAATCTGATGGATTAAGAGGTTAAACCATGGATTTGGAATTTGGGAAATGGACAGTAAAGGTTCTCAAACAGGTTTTCAGGTACCAGGATGATAATAAAAATATTATCATGTTATAAACCTAATATATAAATAGAGTAACCATCTTCCTAAGAGTCGTTGTATGGAACACCACTACCATTGAATTCTTTTTAAACTTTGTTCAGAATCGAAATGATGATACAAAGCCTGGAAAACGACCAGAAAAAAGTTTGATTCAAAGCAGGGGGACATAAGCCGAAAATGAAGTTTCAGAGTGGTTCTAATAATAACTTTAACAAAGAGACTAAGAAATTCTGGATACTCAGATCCAAGAAGGACGTAAAATGCAAATGCGAACATCTTATGCCAGAGAGGAGGCTCAGTAAAGCTTCACAGCTCAGATTTGAAGTGCGAACCAAACCCGGACAATTTTACCCCGCTGGCAGTTGTCGAGGCATAGGATTAGAGAAGTGGGACAATATCAAATGGGGCGAAATCAATGTAAACTACTATCACTGTTATAACAGACAAGTTTTGGTGACTTCATCTGCTTTTTCCAACTTTTTGACCGATTCTAATTTTGCAACTCGAAAATTTTTGATGAATAATTTGGCATCTACTTTCGCAAGTTCACCTTTTTGAAACAATTGTGCAACTCGAAAATTTCTGATAAATAACTTGTCATCTACTTTCGCAAGTTCACCTCTTAAAACACGACTTTTCAACGGCTTTCCCGCGAATTTTTCTCACCCTTCCTCTTCCCTTCCCCCCCCCCAAGTAAAATACTTTGGAGTTAACAAAGAATAAAGTCTTCACTTGAATTATGACTTTCTTGGCTCATCAGACGACTGGTTTGATTCTGGAAAGGTCAAATAATCGGCTATCGATTGGCTCAAATGCAACTAACGCAGTGACTATCGTAAAAGATTGAGAAAATTAGCTCAGGAAAATAAAATGCAATATAGAGTAAGTTTTCAGCGAAGCCATTTATAGGAGTTTATGAAAAATTTCCGAAGCTTTCAGCCCTCTAAAAAAAATTTTCATCAATTCCAATCTTTAGAAGAATGATGAATTGCATTGATATGAATTCATACACAAGTCCATTCAAAAGATTCGCCTTTCAAAACTGGTCACATATTTGTTTTCCCCTTCTCTGTATCACCACTCCAGGTCTTTTAAACTAGACTTTTCCTTCCGCGAATTCCTGAGCAAAAAAGGCAAAACCCAGACTCAGCGCGGGAGGCGGAGCTTGGAGGGTTGCCAGATCCTTCTTGGCACGCAGCCAGCTCCTTCCCCTCTGGGATACAGGGGTCAAGAGCTCTGGTTCCTCCTGCACCGCCGCCAAATTCTGAGCGTTTTCAACATTGGGCCACCCGAGTGAGGTGGCCATTTTTAAACATGGTTAACCATATTTTGAAAGTGAATTAGCTTTTTGCACCCAATACAAAGAACTATACTATGTTTGCCTATACCATGAATCTTGTTACAAATAACCGTCAAACTATAGAATTAGGAGCCAGCCAAAATCTCGTTTGTCTCGTTTTTCCCTACCTGGTTGTGCTTCCAGCGACTATTTCTCAAACGAAAGAAAACAAGTTCAGCTTTAATACTTCAACAAAAACTGCGAGATTTCAACTGTCGAACTATATCGGGAAAGTTATAATCGTTTTTCCTTACTTATGCAAATGGAAAATGTTGCGAAAATATTGGGTTACGGTAATATGCTAAGTCTGCGCTACTATGTGAATTGCGAGGGAAGGCGACAAGAATGTACATAGTCGATAGTTTAGGCCTCCTAATTTACTCTAAAGTGATTCAAGCCTTATTGGTCTTTTCTGGTCTGAGATGTTGAAAGCAAAAAGGAGACAATCGAGATTTTGGCTTGCTCTAAATTTTGTAGTTTGGTGGTTATCTGGAGTGGGATACCTCGAGCAAAGAAATAGTAGTTCTTTGTATTTTGTGCAAAAAGAAGTAATTGACTCACTTTTGAAACAAAATTAGCATGTTCGAAAATGACTATCCCAATTGGGTGCCGCTGTACGTGGAAACCTCAGAATTCGTCGAAACTTGGCTCGGAGGGTTATTTCACATGTCAGTTATGAAAACGATGCGTTTTTGCTTTTATAGACCTTTTATCATGTTTACTGCACGTATACGATGGTGGGCTAAATCAATGAGCTAGTATTTTGCATTGTGGGCCTATCTGATAATGTTAACGAATATCATGTTACGGCTACATCAGAATCACCTTGACAACGACCCCCCCTTTTCCTCCCTCCCCCAGGTGTGGCATGCCACACCCACTCTTGACCCTAGTAAGGGTCATTATTATTAGGTTGTAACATAAGTCTTGAGACACCCTAAATTCTTACGGTAATAAGTCATGCAGTTCACATTTTTAATAGGGGTCCGGGGCACCACTCGATAGAGCAAACCAAGCTTACAAGATGGTCTGCAAAACTTCGCCCCAACTTCGACCCCCTTCTCCTCCCTACCCCCAGGTGTGGCATGCCACACCCACGCTTGACCCTGGTTATGGGTCATGTATATAACCGTAGGATCCCACTACTCTGCTTCCTGAGTCAGTGGTTCCTGCTCTACGTACCAACAAGGCAAGGGCCTTGAAAAGAGCCCCTTTCCGCGCTCTCCAAGCTGCTCCAGCGAGAAGGGCTACGTTACACACCATCTACTTGACTTATGTTAGAGCTAAATACCGACAATTCTACATTATTGGCAAGCTTGTACTCTCATCCTAACCAGCATTAGAAAGCTGGTTTAAAACCCTTTGCTTTAGACAAAGGTATTGCCGCGAGGTGCAAGAATGCATTGTACAAGAACAATGCAATTATCTGTGCTCCTCCGTACTCCATTGTGGCTGTGTATTATGGGAAATTCGAAATTTTACGATAATTCGATTGTCAATTAATGTCCAGAAAGATAATTCCGAATATTCGCCTGTCGGATATTGCGCAAGAAAGGATGCGCATAGGAACCCCAACCAAACTTGCTTCCACCTGGTGAGCGATTTTGTGGAAGTGATTATGGTTTGTAATTTACAGGGCGAGAAGAGTCAAGGTCATCAAATTGCGAGCTTTTTGAGCTCAAATCTATCTGAAAGTGAGGAAAGATATATTGTCTCTTCCATAGTTGCTGCTACTTTCAGTCCGTGTCTATGACCCGCGGCACGCTAATCACTTAACCAAGCATAATGTATATGTAGCTTCCAATACATTGTCCATTAATGGAAAAGCGCAAAAAGTTCCACCCTTTTGAAAGAAAAGCAAACGGTAGGTTGAGACAAAGTTTATGACAGAAGCTTTTGTCTCGAACTTTCCAATCGCTTGACAGGTGCCGAGAACAGGTTTGGAATTAGCGCAAGTTAATCAACAGATCATATTTGATTACGATTGACCGCTTTCGTTGATTAACTGTTCCTTGTGAAAGTAGAGAGGAGACTGGTAATATCATGGCATTATAGTCGTGTTTTGTGCTGCGGAAAGAAGTGTCTCTCTAAGATGCTGGACACTTGAAGCGGATAGAAAGAAGCGTCCATTTCTAGTATGCTGAACATTACTTATTGCTATAGCCGATTCCCATGCGTATAGCGGGCGTAGCCCTGTAGACATTTGAACATGTTGAATTGCTGAACCCCTTCGGTATCTTTTAGCTATCGGAAACTGCCAGCGCATACGTTGGCAAACGTCGGCAAAGCTCCGCCCGCTTTATTGTGGGGGAATGGACGATATATAGGCTACAGTCGAGTAGATTTTCCGCTTAATAATGTGCTTGCACTCTAGGTGAAATGCGGTAAAGCATGCGCATGAACAAACAGCTACGCCTGTAGCGCCGTCCGATTGCGCGCAGAGAATGCCGCCGTTAATAGCGTGGCTAATTGTGCGCAAATTTTACCGCATTTCACCTACAGTGCGAACACACTTTGTTAAGGAAAATCCACTCAACTATACAGTCTTCTTCAACTCGGAGTAGGCGAAACATTTGAAGTGGAGCAGCGCATTCGCACCGCCACTGGCCCAGCGAGATAGATTAGAATGAAGAGACGCAGGCTGCAAATCGGCGCGAATCGTTGCGAAGCGGACTCCCGCCGGTCCAATATTCGAATAAACTGAGTTAAAACTTACTACATATGACAGAGCATCTGTCGCGAGAGTCCACGAAATGAGGCCGCGCAAATGCGCCGCAGGCGTCAGAAGGGGCAATCGAGCGCGAGAACTACTTACCTGCTGTAAAATTTGCAACCGTGATCAAAGCTATCTAGCAACGTCCTTTCTTCATTTTTTCGTTCAGATCCCCTAGCATGACTGTATCATCTATAACCTTCATATCAGATGACTGCACGCTGTTGGCACACAGGGCAGCTCATGAGCAATAACAGCGAAATTCATTCTTTTTATCGTATCAGTTCAAGGTCACAATGTCATGAAAACCGCAAGTGCTCAGAACCAGCGGCAGCGGCACCCTAATCTGTTAGCATAGGTAAA